GGCGGCGGGGAGCGGGGGTCCCGTCCCCTGCTCTGTCAGCGGCGGGATGGCCGCCCGCGCTGCGAACGTGCTCCTTTCATCCCTGTTTTAGCAAGAAGTTGAGGCGAGAAAGCCAGGCTACGATTTATTTTACGTTTTAAATTTAACTTTACTTCTGTTCGTGATAAATGAAATGGTGTAAAATCCCGCTGGCTGCTCCAGAGCCGCCTTGGCTCCAGCAGAAGGCCTGGTGTTGCTGAGGGGAAAGCGGAAGAACGCGTATTTACCGCGTGTTACCGCAGCGAACAGCTACGGCCTCGGCTGCGCTGAGGGAATGAGCCCCGCTGCGCTTACTTGTCTGCTGTGTCTGCTTTGGGGGGGCTTGCTGTTTACGAAGGGAGGCATTAGCTGTGTTTGACCGCTTGTGTAATCACAGAATCATAGAATGGTAGGGTTTGAAGGGACCTCTGTGGGTCATTCAGTCCCCTGCCGAAGCAGGGTCACCTACAGCAGGCTGCACAGGACCTTGTCCAGGCGGGTCTTGTATGTCTCTAGAGAAGGAGACTCCACAACCTCCCTGGGCAGCCTGTTCCAGGGCTCCATCACCCTCAGAGTGAAGAAGTTCTTCCTCATATTCAGACGGAACTTCCTGTGCTTCAGTTTGTGCCCATTGCCCCTTGTCCTGTGGCTGGGCACTACTGAAAAGAATGCACGGCTGGAATTCTGAAAGCCCATTACGTAGTTCCTATCGGTTAAATATTTACCAGGTGGTGCCCAAAGCAGCCAATCTTGCAGGCACGAGGTGTCCGCGTTTTCCAGCAAGTTCAGTAGTTGCGAGGCTGGGTCTCAGGATGGTCAAAACACAAGTCTGTCAGAAATGTGGTATTTTAATGCTTCTTAACACGCTTGTTACCTTCTTGTCAGATGCAAGGTGCAGTGGGAGGGGAAATTGGAAATATGAGGTGTGCAATTTAAAAACAGGACTTAAATGTGTGGCTGGGGAAAATCTTTGTTTTCTGACTGTATATGTTCTTTTTGCAGCCATATTCTTTTGTTTTTCTCCCCCGCCCCGGA